TTTGTTAACCATGCACTAAACCTCTCCAAAAAGCCTAACCTGTAAAGAATCATATAAAAAATATATATATATTTTACTTAGAGGTAAATGTTATTTTATTAATCTCAGAACCCCCTGGGTATTCAGTTTCTTGTTATTTTCACAATTATTTTCTTGGCAGGTTGTGTGTCATCATGTGGCTTCTACTGGTAGTGCTTCTTGCTCTGGTCTACCTATATAGGTGGAACCAAAAACGTCTGATCCTCCCGAATCTCACAAGCAAGTATGTGCTGATAACAGGATGTGACTCTGGCTTTGGAAATTTAGCAGCCAAACAGCTGGACAGACGAGGACTAAATGTTCTCGCGGCTTGCTTTACTACCAAAGGAGCTGAAGACCTGAAAAAGGAGACATCACGTAGGCTGCAGACTGTGATCCTAGATGTCACAGACAGCCAGAGTGTGAGCCTTACAGCCAAGTGGGTAGCTGATATTGTAGGAGATAAGGGTGAGTGAACTGACTTTGTTTATTGCTAGGTGATATCCTACAACCTTCTAATATTATTGATTTTATATAGGTTGTCATTGTCACAGTTTAGACCATATTGCAAATCTCAGGGTGATACAGTATATGATTTGTTTGAGACAAGCAGAGAGATTTTGAAAATTTCGCAATTGATCCACATGCTGTATGAACAAAAATGATCGAATGATGTGACTATTTAATTGCACAATATGATAATGGCTAATGTATGGATTGAAGTTACGAGTAAAAGAAAATATGGTTAATATGTTTCTGCTGATACATCAGAGATAAAGTGAAGGACACTGACTATCTATGAGCAATAAAGGGCACTTGACTGAAACCTGATGTACTCAAAGGAAGCCTATGTTAAGGGAAATATACTAAGGCTGCCCAGTGCCAATCTGTCTTTGGATACTGATCTGGAACACTGTAGCAGCAAGTGAATTCAAAGAACCTTTTTTATACCAGTCTTAAGGTCATTGACTTAAAAAGTATGATACTCAAATGATCACCATTCCAGCTAGGAAAACTGTTGATTTTGGAAATAGATCGGCATTGGGGGCTTCCTTGTTTCCCTCAACATAGCTTTACTATAAAAGTGCGTTTAATAACATGTTAAATCTCTGTAGGGTCTGTGGGTTCAAACAACCTGATTCTATTTTGTATTTTCGAGCCTTAAGTGTATGCAGTGTGAAGGTGGAAAACTATGCAGCCAAATTTGAGAAACTCCCACTAATATGTTCCCATTCACACCTAAAAATAATATTGAACATGTTTTACCCTTCTAGTTGTTGCTATGCTTTAGGGTATACTGTACACAGGACTCTATAGGTAGTTTGTATTGTTCAGAATAATGTGCAATGTGCTTATTTAGGGACACTTTAGGGACAAATTGGTTTAAAGCCCATCTCTAGGATAAAGCTGAACCTACCCATTACTCATCGCTCCTACCCCCCTCTATAGCTGATTGCTGGCAGTTGAAACCTATCGAAATGTATTGGTTTAAAGCCCATCTCTGGGATAAAGCTGAACCCACCCATTACTCATCTCTCCTACCCCCCCAGGGTTGCCACCCGTCCAGGATTCATCTGGTTTTCAGTCCGGGTTTTGAATACAGTGTCCAGGTTTCATGCAGGCAGAAACCCGTACTCAAGATGTCAGGCAGACAGGGGCAACCAAAATTAAGATAGGGGCTACTGGGCCCCCACTGAAAATAGTCTCAACTGTGATATTTACATATGAATGGGTGGTGCTATTTACATATGAATAGGCCACCACTCATGGGATTGTACGTCCTATAATGAAAATAAATACCTTCAATCGTTGCTCTTAACCCATATATACATATCTGTATAACCACATAATATAAATATACACATATATACATACATATCTTGAATAATAGACTCAACACTGTAGTGTGGGAAAATAAGGCGGCGGCCCCTTTATTGGGTTTATAAATAACAATAAATTTCTGTTAACCTTTTCAAAACGTTTAACCATAAACCCCCATAAATAAAATTCCAATAATGCTCAGTCAAAAGACTCGAGCAAAGAGTCCATGAAACCACTTAAGACCTCTACTTCCTGTCCACCCACAAAGTGGGCGACATTACCCCAACAAAGGATGACCGCGACAAGCCCAAGATACGGGCGGGAGGGCGGGAAGCAAATTCCAGGCAATCCAGAGGTAAAGCTGATCCGACTACTCCTGCTGAACTGTGTGGTAAAGATGAACTGCCCAGTAACTAATGCCAGTTTTTATACACTTAATGACACCACAATTGGCCAGCTGATTTCCCTCCAAAACGAGAAGACCAATCCATATGCCATCTGTCCAGGGATTCTGCACGGTGACAGCCGCAACCATTGGTAAGCGTCATATCGTTACCTTTGATTCTGCCCGGATACAGCTATGCCCCTAGCAACCTGAAAATAAAAAAAAGAGCCAGCAGCGTATCCGACAACATACCACATACATTTTTTTTTTTAATTCATTGACCTTTTATATAAAACCAATGCTTATGATTAAATCAACTTATTTAATACTTTTTATTGTTTTGGAAGTGCGACAATCCCATGGGGCCACTACTCATATACGTCCTTTTCCGTGGCCCTAACATGGGATTGTACACCCCATTGACACGCATCATACCATAACAATAAACTTAAATAATAAAGTAAAACACAACCAAGATTGTGGAATAACTATAGGCCGTGGCCGCTTTATTGGGTTGTAATCAATTTAACCAATAAATAGACTTTATCCTTTATTACCAAACAGAACCACTGTTAACCATTAACAGACCACCATGCTTAGTCATCAAGAATCAAGCAGCAATAACTTACACCAACCAAATTACTGTTTACCAACCCCTGTCCACCCACAAAGTGGGCGACATTACCCCATAAAGATTGACCGCGATAAGGGAAAGTCCAGTAAAGGGAAGGGTGGGCGAGAAGCAGGTGAAAAGATCCAAAAGGAATTGTGAAGATAATCCAGAGGTGAGTCCAGCTGGCAGTTCTGAGGTAAAAGCTGACACTGTCCAGTGACAGAAGTGACTATAGAGCGGGAAAGGTTACTCTCGTTGGTCAGCTGTTTTCCTGCCAAAAGTCTGTCACCAATCCTGTGCTCAGCTGACTGAAGGTCTGTCCAGCAACTGAGGTAAATCCTCCTGGCAACAGCAGGCAGCTTGTAACCTGAAAGACAAAGTAGAAAGAACCAGCAAAGCAGTCCCAGAGAGACATATGTACTGAACTTATTATTGATAATCAAAATCAGTCAGACTGGATGATAATCATTTGGTGTTGATAGTTAATTGGCTATTAAGATGCCTATGTAAAATGAAATACTAATGTTGAGTTTATTAGCTGTTAGATACGTATGATGGAGATACAGTATCTAATGTCCATGCAGTGGAGTGCAGGCAGATTTTATTACGCAGGTTAGGTTAAAGGTTGATTCTATTATATGGAATATGTTTTAGCAATGAACTACACATACCTAAAGTGACATTGTCATGAGAAAGGTACAGGACCTGTCTGCTATTACTGGCCTCCTTCTAAAAATGCTTGGTGCCTGGCTCTATCTGGTATCACAACTTTTTGAGTTATACCCTGACACATGTATGCTGGAAATGAGCATTAGAAACATGTTGGAATTCCTTTTCTCTATGCTTGTTCAAGGTCAGTAACTTAGGAAGCACTAAAACCAATGCATCAACATGCCATCCAGGCAGTGAGCACCTTCAGAAGAAATGGTTACCAGTGGCAGTCTCCACGATTCTTTCATGACAGTGTCAGGGGGAGAATAAGCAAAGAAGCCAAGGGTGACTATGTAAAGCCCTGTTTAGATGGGCGGCAGGCTCCACCTACCTCTGAATAGCGATCCATGGTGGATCGCTACTCACAAGGCCATTTTTTTTCATCCCAAGGAGGATTTGTCATTGAACTACCGTGCTGCAACCACATGCCAAGCATTTGGCATGCTTGCTGCGAGGTCTCATTCACCTCTATGATTGCATTGCAGCACTGCCTGCCTGCCATGCTGTATAATTTTTGCCACGCCACAAAGGAAAACATCACAGCTGCAGCAATGTTTATTGCACTGCCTGGCCGCAATCCAACCATTACAGTGAGTGGCTGTGGAATGGTAAAATCTGCTGTTCAACCGCCTTATTTTACTGCCCCTCAGTCGTCCATTTAAGCAAGGCCTTAAAGTGATATAACCTGATGGAACTGTATTCTCACGCTCATCAAATTTCAAATTGCACAATATTTCCCAGGTATAGATGGCAGAGTAATTAACAAATGTATTGGATATATATAGCATTTCATAGTATTTTTTTTTATTTGGAAGATTTGATGTTTGGTAAAAATCAGAAAAACATGATCATAGCACAAAAGTAATAGGTAATGAATCCAAGTTCATGTCTTCATTTGCAGGTCTCTGGGGCTTGGTGAATAACGCAGGTATAGCTATTCCAACCGCTCCAAATGAGTGGCTGACCAAGGACGATTTCTTTAAGATCCTGAATGTCAACTTGCTAGGAGTTGTTGATGTCACTCTTAAGATGCTTCCTCTGATCCGGAGAGCACAAGGACGTGTGGTAAATGTAGCCAGTATTGCAGGTAGATTTACTTTCTGTGGTGGAGGATACTGCATGTCTAAGTATGGAGTGGAATCATTCTCGGACAGTCTTCGGTAAGCAACTATTACTACTACTTATCATATAATACCAACATATTCCACAGCACTTTCCAGCATACACAGAGCAATGCCCTTTATTTTCTGCTCCAGTGCCACTTTGAGTCTCCTAACAAAGTCTTATGAATACACATTTGGGCCAAATTTAATCAGACGGCACTTATTCACCTACCAATGTTGACTGCAGGGGACATATAGACCCCCCTGTATGAAGGGCAATGATGGAAGCTGATTCCAGGACCACACCAACAGCAGACAGCAGAGGTAACAACGGAGTCATCACGCTGTGACATATATGTATTTTTCCCTTTATTTTCACCTGGAAATTCTGTCAGTAATACACTTCCTGTCCTAGAGCAGTTGTTTCTAATCTTTTTTTACAACTTGGCAGTTCTTTTACAGTATAAAAATTGTACACCTTAGTGGGGATGGGGCTGGGGTAATAGTTAAGCATGTAGTGTGCCGAATGGTAGGTATGACCAAATTGCCACTGTGTGGGTGTCAGTGGGATGAATGAGGGAGCTTGAATGCTGGGGAGCTCTTTGGAGTTCGCCATATTGCAATGGCGTGTCCAGTGTTACCTTGGAGCCTCTTTAGGGTGCATAATTTGACCATGTATTCAGTGGATCTAGGTCTGCTCTGTGGTTTTGGAGGCACTGTGGGTTGGAGGGCTAGGCATCCCTCCATGATGGGTGGGGCCATGGAGGATGAAAATGGAGTAAGGGTACAGTCTGGTGGCTCACATGTATGTTGGAGTTCAGGGGGAGCTGTAGCTGCACTTTCAGTGATCCATGGAAAGCGTAGTGTAGGGGATTGATGATGCAGGGTGGAGCGGCTCTCATATGATGGTGGCGACTTAATTGACTGGTGGCCAGTGAGTCTCTGAGGAGAGGTGGGTCGAGCAAATTCTGGTGTGATTCAGGACTACAATCTCTGTCCTCTTTGTGCCAAATTGCAGAAGGCAGTATCTGCTTCTAAGAAAAGTGTAGGGCACATCATTCAGCTAGGAAATTATTAAGGTGTTGGCAGTCATAACTATAAGTGTTGGAAAACCGCCGCAGGATTATCTGCAGACCTTCTGCACACAATTTAGTCCCTGACTCCCCACTGCCACAGCCTTTTTTAACCATTGCAAAAATATTTTCAAGTACCCCTATATATGCTGGCAAGTACCACTGCTGTCCTACAGTGAAAATGCTTACTCACTGTACTGTATCTATAAAGGAGCACCCTAGGACAGGAAGTGTGTTGGGACTACAAAACACCTCTCCTTAGCTATATAACAAGGGGGAGTTCTGTAGTCCACAAAATATAGCTAAGAAGGGCTGATACTATTGTTTAGTATTTTAGTGCAGCAGAAGCAGCAGAATTTAGAACTCCTTGGATTTCTGTCGGATCGAAGTATATTTTTTCTGTACTCGCAAGGTTTTGTAAAAGACAAAACATGGAAACATATGCATGTATTGGGGAGATATACTGGATCTTTTTTATTACTGTTCTGCCCATACATATACTTAAAAAAGAAAAAAATGATTAGTTTGAGCTCTACTTTAATATGGAGCTTTTACATTACAGAACAGTAGAGCTTATAACCTATTTCCCTCAGATTATTTTTTATGGGATATTTTCCATTTGTAGCCATGAGATGGCCCCGTTTGGAGTGAAGGTCTGCATCATAGAGCCAGGATTCTTCGCTACACAATTGGCAGATCCAAAACTACAGAAAGAGTGTGCGAAAAAATTGTGGGCACGAGTTTCAGAAGAAATCCGCCGGAGCTATGGACAGGAATACTATGAAAACTGTGAGTGCGTCTACCAAATTACTATAGCTATCAGATTTTGAGGTCCTTCATGCACTAATGTGGTGGACTCCCTATCTTCCAAAGCTTAATAAGTAAATGATTCCTAATACAAATATGGGAGCTGCCATTGCTTCTTCTAAAAATGCCTGTTGTCTGACTGTTGTACCCAGGCACATAATGTGATGCTGTAGGTACTCACATCACAACAGCCTGATAGGACACAGGCCTGTAATGTTATAGATAGTACAAATGCCATAAACACAGCATATGTGCATTGCATCAGATAACAGTGGTGATGTGTTTAAATTTTGTGTCTGTAAACTCAAACTTCATTTATTGCAAAAGCCAGCTGAGCTACTAGTGCACAGTGATGCAGAGCAGCACACATCATCTAATTGCCCTTGGATACAATTTAGTACATGAAATTCCCACCAGCTACATATGCACTGTAGAAAGAAGGAAACGTCAGAACTCCTTATCTGCATATTTATTATAGGTTACTTGATATATGTAATAAAACAAGTAGGTCAGCATGACAGCCAAGCAACTAGCATTTTAAAATGCAGAAACTGTAAGTGCAACCTCTAGGTTTTACATGATTAAACAATATTCTGCTGTCCAACCACCTTATCACTAAACTGTCCCTGGTGCCTGTCACATTGGGGTCTATTTATAGACAATTTAAAGCCCATTCACCCTGTAAATATATGTGAATGTTTGTTCTGTGTTGATGTATGCCAAAATAATATTCTTAAATTTTTGGATTTTTTTAACTAGGCAATTTGTTTTTCATTTTTTTAATGTAATACTTTATTATGACCACGGGGTGGTGCTAGGAGCATAGACAATATTCAGTATATATGCTCCTCAACACCACCCTATGGTCATAGTGTGGTATAAAAAAGATTTGAAAATACATTGCCTTGTAAAAAAAACAACAACAAAAAAACCAAAGAATGTTGGTTTTTAAAATCTAAATCTATGCGCACAGATTGAATGTTCACAGATATTTGCAGGTTGAAGGGCCTTGCACATACCAAATAATTTTTGCAGAGGTATACCTGAGATCAAAAACCATAAAAGTTTAACCCCCATTGATGCCGTGTGTGTAATACCGTCTACTTGGTCTTGTATCTGCAAAAAGAAGGTTCAGTGATAAAGAATCGCTGAAAAAGATTGTTACCAAAAAACGTTTGTCTATGGCTATTATGCACACTCACTTTCACATCAATGGGCCCCACACACACATTGCAAGAATGGGTCAGCACAGGAAAAAGCGAAACTTTTCCTTTTTCCTGTGCTAACTCATTCTTGCAATGTGTGTGTGGGGCCCATTGATGTGAAAGTGAGTGTGCATGATAGCCATAGACAAACGTTTGTTGTTCTTTTAACGCTGTGAAGGAAGACAAGGTAGTGGTGCTGTTTCAATTTTAATGAAATACTAATAAAATCCTTTTTTACCTCTATACCTGTCCCGGTCTTTTTGGTAACAATCTTTTTCAGCAATTCTTTATCACTGAACCTTCTTTTGAAGGGCCTTGCACATAGTTTATAAATAGACCCCACTGTATCTGCTCTTACTACTATAGAATAAAAAATAAAGTTGAAATTAATAAAGATATTACAAATAATTAACTTTAATAATAGGTTAGCTGTTTAGTTAATATGTTATCCTTTTAATTGAGGCAGATTAATTAATCCGTGTTAGTTCAAATTTTTAGGATTTTTAAAAATCATTGTAATAATAACAGCTGTTGAACTGAGAGCATAACATTGTAAAATTTGTAATATCTAGAAATCTATCATGCAAATGTATCAAAACCTAAACATATTTGAAGGGCCCTGTATTCAGCATACATAGATTTATTGCAATATCTGGAAAAGTATTAATTATACAAAAATACATTGCACATTAAACAAACCAGAACAGTACTTTTTCACATTGTCCATTTCTGTGCTAATTATAAAAATATATACAGTATAGGGTATTTGTAAAACAAATAGCAAATAGTGTGAAAAAATGTTTTCTCAATCAGGGAGCTTGCAGTTTATATTGACTGGTCGACAGATAATTGAAAAATGATAGAGAAAAGAGCTAACAAAAATCAAACAAACAATATAATTTTTACTGCAGTGAGTACTTAGATTTTGCAGACTAGTAAGTGAAATACAATGTAGCCCAATTATAAAACATATAATATTTAACCTACTATACTCGCACTAAACATATTTTTACAATAAAAATAATATTCATACAAGTTAAAAGAAATATGACTAAGCATGCAAGTATCACAACTAGACATTGTTTGGATATGAGTTGCCTCTATGCATGTGGGTCAGGTTTGTAGTAGTAAGTGTATATAGAGGACAATTTTTGTACTATTTTAATTGAGTAAAAAAATGCTTCAACCTCTGGCAGGTGATTAATTATTTGTTTGCTGTCTGCGTAGCATTAGTGAAATTTCCCCTTACTTCCACAACAGGCAGTTAGTGTAAATCTCCCAAAGTGATGGGAATTCCTGTGTTACCTGTTCCCAGAACAAGTGTCCCCATTGCAACATTTCCCTTTTACCTTTTGTTCTGGGGACAACTCTAAAATGTTGGATTTCTCCTCACTTTATGTTTTGGTGAAAATGATCACCTGTACAAATAGAGGGGTGGATCTGAGTCCCCAATGGGGACATGGGGATGGCGATCCCCAATGGGGAACATTTTGCCTAGAGATACTCTTTTAACCACCTCCCGTCCATGGCCGTTCCTGAACGGCCGGACTGGAGCCTTATAGGAGCGGGGGGGCGTCTTAAGACGTCCTGCCCCCCCCCCACGTGCGCGTCACCCAGCACGCACACAAGTTAGGAAACTGTCAGAAATGTAAACAGCCAGCGATAGTGAGAGCAATCGTTTTAGGGCCACTAATTACTGATAACACTAAACTGATGAGCGGTAAAATCTTTTAAATCGTCGCCTATGGCCAATTTTGTGTGTGGTCGTTTTCTGCGATTTCGCGGGAGCACACAATTTTAAGGCTCGACATGTTTGCTGTCTATTTACCCGATGTGACCCCATCTTTTATATTTTACCAAAAAATTGGGGTGATAATAAATGTTTCATAACATTTTATAGGGAAACAGATTTTCTTCAAAATTCAGCGTACTTTTTGTATTATATAGTAAAAAATAAAGAAACCCCAGTGGTGATTAAATACCACCAAAAGAAAGCTCTATCTTACCCCAAAATTTGTATAAAATGTATTTCAGTACAGCGTTGCATGACAGAATAAACGTCAGTGACATCTAATTTAGCTGTTGTAGAGCTATGTTGCTAAATGATAATTTCCCCAGATGGAAAAATGGCCCCACTAATCTGTCACCATCTGCTCAGCAAGAATTGAATATGTAGAGTCCAGCAGTGTAAATGTAGATATACAGTATGAGTACATAAACTGCCACAGATGGTATCATTTGACTATACTTTGTACTGCACAGTTTAACTGAAGACTGAAAAAGCTATTAATTTGGCATGCATAGCAGCTGGGAAAGGTTAGAATTCTAGAAGAGAAATCCTAAAATTGAGGCTGCCACTTGTTTTGGCTTTTTCACTATGGGGTCTATTCACAAAGCTGCCGAAGGATCAGGCCGTAGCTTCGGCCGATCCTTCGGCTAGCTTCGGCACCAGGACCCCTTCGGTTCAGGAGAACCGAGGGGGTGCTGTACGGCTATTCACAATAGAAAGGTGCCCATACACCTGACGATTATCATGCAATAATCGCGGGTTATCTTGTGATTGTACATTGCAATAGCAAACAGCATTGCAATAATCGGCAAACCCTCCCCTCAGCGGGAGGGCTTGCGATGATCGCAAGTACGATCTGCCTGTCCAAGATGGAAAGTCGTGCGATGGTTGTAAGGTGCATGGCCACCTTAAGCAAAACCTTTTTTGGAAAGAGTGGGAAAGGGATAGACCCTTTGTCCAATATTTTATTACTGAGTGCCCATTGAGCCGATTCAACACTCTGTTTGCTCTGATGACCATTGTCGCTGAGAGAGAGAAAGTGAGGGTAAATCCAAATAGTGCCCCAGAACGAGAGGTTAGGGGAAATTTTCATATGAGGCTCTAGAGACAACTGTATAAGTGGGGAATACATAGTATTTGTAAAATTTCCTCACTTTCTGTTGTGTCTCTGGTACAGGAAGTGAAGGGTAATCTCCCCAATGGTACACAGACAGCAAAAAAAACCACACTAAACTGCTGAGATTTTAACGTTTCCCTACTCTAACCAAAGATTTTAAAATGTTTTGGCTATCTGTACATGCACTATAACCAGTTTAGTTTTCACAATTCCTCTGCAGAGTCCTTAACTATTGTTTTTTGCCAGATTTAAATTGACTATTGTCATTGGTCATATAAGATGAGGCTGGAATCACAGATTTGTGGTACATTACTGCATACATGTAAGGTAAAGGTAGACCATTTCTTTAAATGGGCTGCCAAGGCACCACAAAATATTCTTAACCTGCCTGCACTTTTTTTTTCCAGCACATCAAAACACACAGATTCACATCTGTGTGTTATGGTGCGCTAAAACACATGTTCATTGCGTTGTGTTGGGGATGTGCACTGAGATGGCAAAATGAATGGCACCACAACACAATGGGGTTGATTTACTAACCTTATAAACACACCACGAACATGTATACACCTCTGTAGTGTGTTCCCTCCCAGCATGATCTATGGGTGGAATCTAAACACCTTTGTAGTGTGTACACACCCAGCAGGTGTGTTGTGCAAAGCCTTGCATGAATTCCAAGGTGATGTTGTGTAAATTAGCTCTATGTTGTGTTGCTTGCATTGATGAATGCAGGAATGTAAATGCATGAGCTAACCATTTTTGTCTAAACTGTGAAGCAGCATTATATATGCATCATGTGCATGATTTTTCCATATATGGCATTAGTGGAAATATGCTTTTAGAGACTTTTTGGTTGATAAATACGTTTTGCTGTGTGAAAATCACACACACCTAGTGCGTGCCTGTGTTTAGGTTAGTAAATCACCCCCAATATGTGCGTTAACATGTATTGCAAAGGTCTGGGTCTGGCATAATTACCTTAGAAAAACATACATAATAAACAAAAACATATCGCGATAAGGATGTTTCTGTCTGTTTGTAACTCTTTTTTTTCTTATAGTTTTTGGCAGTTTTGGATAGAGTAGTGAATAGTAAGTGCTTTGATCCAGACCTTTTCATCTAGTTTTATGGCTATTTGAGACCTTATTTTCTTCCCCGCCAGAAAGTTGATGAAAACCTCCAATAGAGACTTAGACAGCGATATAAAGCTTTTGAGGGTTCTAGCATTTACCTATTTTACTAAAAATTTACTTTCCCAACCCTATCCAAAATTGAAAAAGTTTTGGCTGGAGTTACACGTTATTGCAAACCTGTGTAGAAATGTATTATAATCCCTACTTGTTACAAATAACAGGCACCTCCATGTGCCTGCACCCTGAATCTGATCCAAATGACAAATGGAAAGGGCAGGCTTTTTTTTCTTTCTTTTTCCTGCAAGGCATATACATTAAATTATCAGTACATATACATATACATAGACAAAACAAACGCAGTTGCATGCAACACACGCAAAAGGCACCAATATTGGAGTATGAATCTGCTCCTTAATAAGTGGCATCACAACCTTGATGTAGACCAGTGGTTCTCAACCTTTCTAGGGCCGGGACTCCTTGGTAACATTTGCCAAAATGTGGTGACCCCAACGGTAAAATTTAAGGATGACGCGGCTGCTGCAGCGACATCTGGCGGCGCGGCGGGAGAACTGACACTGCTGCACTAGGAGAGGGCTGAGAAGGACTCTCCCTAGCACAGCAGAAATCACACAGCTATTCACAGGTCGAGAACCACTGGCATACGCCGTCAGAATAAAAATAAATAAAAACACCATAGGAATGCATAGCTAGATTCCTATTGTTTTTTTCACTTTGCAATAGCCAATAGCAAACTAGCTATTGCACCCGCCCTCTGCTGCTGTCAATCACTATAAGAGGACCTGATGGAGAACTTCAGGTCCCTCTCAGCTAGTTTGCTATTGGCTATTGCAAAGTGAAATAGCCAATAGGAATCCAGCTATGCATTCCTATGGTGTTTTACGCGACCCACAGGTTGAGAACCGCTGATGTACACAGTTAGAAGAGGTCAAAAGAGGTTCTTATGTGGCACATCACTTTTAAAATCAGAAATTATCCTCAGATTTGTTTTTTATTAAGGGGGTTGGTGGTGTAAATTTATGTCCAGCCTCATGTGGGAGTTTTATTTACATTTTAACAAAGAATATGGTAGAAAATAAAAATGTAAAGTCCGATATAAGAAAGGTATAGATAGAAAAAGGATAATTAAAATTAAAATGAGGGCAGGCTGTTTTTATTTTAAATGTGATTGTTTTTCTTTATATTTAGATTGTGCAACTGCTGATAAAACTCTGTCAATCTGTAACACAAAGCTGTCTCTGGTGCCTGATTGCATGGAGCATGCCCTGACAGCGGAACACCCCAAGACACGCTATTCTGCCGGTTGGGATGCCAAACTGCTCTACCTCCCATTGTCTTACCTCCCTTCCATATTTACTGATTTTCTGATTCGCACAATGTACTCTATACCAAAGAAAGCTTAACTATCTCTCCTGTATTATTTCAAACTATCTCGTTTAAGAAAATGGAGCATAAAGAAAACAAGAAATATACTTTTATGGACCCTTAGGTCCCCACACTATGCGGATACCCCTGGTGAAATTAATTCTACAGTATTATACAAGAATAGAAAAATACCTTTTCAAATTTCAAAAAGTGTGAAGTGTTGGGCATTCCTTACCTGTCACTTTGGATTTCTCATGCAACCCTGACACAGAGGGATGTATTAAAAAAAACTGCTATGCATCCTGTGACACTGTATGTACATTCATTCTGTGTGAATGAGGCAAAAATAATTGTTATTAGGCTAATTTTCTCCAGGATGAATTGTATTTATTTATAAAGAAAGGAGTGAATTAGGAAAAACGGCATTATGACCACTAGATGGACCTGAGGATCATAGGAAATCAATACTGATTTCCTATGATCTTTAGCTTTATCTAGTGGCTATATTGTAGCATTTTACTGGTGGATTCAATTCATTATGAATTAAAAGCATTCGACCTGTAGAGAAATTAGCCTAATAACATTCAATTTTAAACCATTTACGCAGAATCAATGTAAATGCAGTTTCACAGAATGAATAGCTCTGCATCCCATAGCCTAATTCATTTCAACCCAGTACACATGCATTGGCTGCTTTCAGCTGCTTTATACTTACAGTATTACCAGGTTTACATTCTGTGATATTAGGAAAACTGACAAATCTCCACAGGCTGTACTGCATGAAATAATGTAGCATTTCCATTACTATTGTTCCTACAACATTTATAAACATGGCATCTCATTCATATATCTTTCACTGATTGCTTAATAAATACAACTATAATAAAATACTTTATCTAGATGCCTTCTTTTTATAAGCACTTGAATGTGGAAAAATCTATATTAAAATATTTACAGTAGTTCAAGGTAAACATATAAAAACATCAGAAAACAAACATAAATTTACTTTATATATTAAACAAAATGGGTCCTGGGCTGTTTTCAAATCATTGGCCTCTGCAGGTTTAAAGGGGTCATGCATAAGGGTCAAGGTACACAGTCCTTTGTGTTTTTTGGAAGGCAGCGTCTGAATTTGCAATTGGATCGTGTGCAGCAGTATACTCGTTGCCAATTGAGTGGGTTGCAGATAATATCACAACACTGCTTCCAGGTACAGGGGAAGTATATACTGTATGTATTGTGTATGATAATTGCAACCCAAGTGGATATAAATGAAATGTTTAGGAATTGACCTTGCAGTACATAGTTGTTGGTAAATCTAAAGAAGATTGTAAAGCGATTACACAATTAGACTAAGGCTTCATTCATACTGTGGCGTTGTGTGAATTCCCTACTTGCCCCTATCATCAATAGTAATGTGAGAGTCAAATGTTTTGCTTTCAACTATTAAGCAATGCACAGACACTCCTTGCTCTCCTTCCCCACACTCCTCCACCTAACTCTGTGTACCCTACTTGCACTCCTGTACACAACACTGTGCCATCTCCCTGCACTCCTCTACACAGTTTTGTGACTCCTCCCTGCACCCCTCTGCACAATTCTGTGCCTCCTCCCTGCACACCTCCACACAACTCGACCTCCTCCATGCACATCTCTACTCAACTCTGTACCTCCTCCCCGCACTTCGCCACACAGCGCTGTATCTCCTCTCTGCACCTTTCTAGACAAATCTGTACCTCCTTCTTGCACACCTCTACACAACTGTGCCTCCTCCCTGCACTCATCTCAACTTTACGCCTTCTCCCTGCACTCCACTCCACAAGTCTATGCCTCTTCCCTGCACTCATTTCAACTCTGTGCCTCCTCCCTGCACCCCTGTCCACAACTCTGGGCCTCCTCCTTGCACTCCTGTCCACAATTATGTGCCTCCTCCCTGCACTCCTGTCCACAATTCTGTGCCTCCTCCCTGCACTCCTCTCCACAATTCTGTGCCTCCCCCCTGCAGTCCTGTCCACAACTCTGTGCCTCCTTCCTGCACTCCTCTCCACAACTGTGTTCCCCTCCCTTGCACCACTCTCCACAACTCACTACTCTTCACCTCTGTTCACCCTCTCCCAGCAATCCTTTCTACTTCTCTGTGTCCCCTCCTGACTAGGGATGTTTGGCGAACACACAAACTATCAGGGCATTCGGCAGGCTATTCGCCCGCCGATCACCCCACAAGGCACTGTGCACCGCAAAGTGCCTTGTGAAGCCCTGGTTGGGTAAAGCAATGCACCTGACCACAGTTCAGGTGCAAGACTTTACCCAAACACAGCATAGTGCACTGTGAGAGCCATGATTGGGCAAAGTAATGATGACTTTGCCCAATTATGGCTCACACAGCTAAGTCCTGTCAGGTGCCGGACAAATGTAAACAGTGGGGAGGAGCTTGCTCGCTGTCACCGCTAGCTCCGCCCAATTGTTTATATTTTGCCGGCATCTGTCAGAATGCCATTCTGTGGCGGGAGTTTGTTGCGAGCGGACGGGTGGGTGGGCTTTTAAAAAAAAATTTAGCCGAGTCGTCGTGGACAACGCTGGATGTCGTGATTGACCCTAGGATTACGTCGATGGATCCATTTTTGGGGGGGAGTTTTAACAATAAAGGACTTGTCAAAAGCCTTTGTTGTGTTTTTATTTCAATGACAGTATTTTTTTTTCCAAAAGTCTGGACTTTTTATTTCAAATTATTTGAACCCTTTAGTGAATGGGTAGGGGTACAAGTACACCTTACTCATTCACAAGGGGGGGCTGCATCTGGGTGCCCCTTTATTAATTTTGCTGCAGCAGGTTCTATACATCATAGAGATGTGCCACTTTACAGGCAGTTTAAGGCGACCCTTCAGGCACGATATTTAAAGCAATTTTTCATTTTTATTGTTTCACTTTAAGCAATGTTAAAATCACTGCTCCTTTAAAAACTGTATTTAAAAAAAAAAATATTTGCATTGATACATGTCCCACAGGGCAGTACCTGAATCCCCATACGCCAATAACTTGCATATAAGCCTTCAAAAAGGGGATATTTGATTTTCAGAGTTCTGGTCCCATAGACTTTCATTGAGTTTGAAGTTCGAGTTCAAACTTTTTCCATGTTCTAAAGTTCAAACTCGAACCAAAGTCAGGTGTGTTCGGACCAACTCCTGACACCTTACTCCATCCCCTCCCTAAACCCTCTCCACTATTATGTGACCACTACTGTCACCATTATGCATCTTTTTCCTTTGTTCTTACCTGGCATCTATCTGCATTAATTTCCTAAACCACTCTCCACTTATCTGTGCCCAAAGATTTCAATGGGACTGCTTCCCAACTGCCTCCTAGTTCAGACATGGCCAATATAGTGGACCTGCATGCTTCACCTTGTGGCCACAGTTACCCCATTGAAACCTCACATCTTCACTCCATGGGCGCCGAAGCCAGATTGAAGCTGGTTTCCCGCCAAATCAGCATTGAGCAGGCCAAACAGCATGAAGTCGACTTCCCGTGCAATGCCAGCGGAAGTACAGGTATCGGCACTTGGTACCGGCGAATACCGAATGATAAATATCGGTACTTGGTATCGGTGAATACCGAATGATAAATATCGGTACTTGATACGGTACTTGGTGCATCCCTAATATATAGATACCAAATACAGATACCGGAAGTCCCATTAATTAACACATCTACAATTCCTCTGCTTTGTCAGCATAATCTATTTCTGCCAGGCACATGGAGGTAGCATTGCTAATGTGACCTTCCCCCCCCCCTCCTCCTCGCTCTACACCTCCTCCCCCCTCCCCACCTTTTCCTCTCCTTCCTCCTTCACCTCTTTCTCCTCACTCTACTCCTCTCCTGCCTGCAGTGTATAAGCCATAAAAAAAGTATCAGCCATTATTTGGGTACCACATGCATGAGGAAGCACAGCTCCATAAGAGCAAAAACTCAATGAGACAAATCAGCAGCAAATGTCCCGCACTCCTCCTTATTCCTCTCTTTCCGCATCGCCCCCCCTTTTTCTGAATCCACCACAGCATCTGCAGCCTCTAGAGAAAGAAAGTGAAGTCTCACAAGGGGTTTTAGAGGATTAGGATGCACCACATCAGCTGGGGAAGAGGGTAATGTGCCATTCTGAGGAGGGTCAATCGAAGGCTTGAACCTCTGCAGAATTCTACACCCACCTTGCTGTCTCCAGCAGCATCTCCAGCTGTATGCTGATGTAATTTTTTGTGAAAGAGGGTAAGGGTCAAATTTAAAAGGATTTTTTTCTTATGGGGTGACAATGTTCTGCCTGTCTCCTAGTATCTCCTACCTTTAAATCACTGTGTCACATGCTCTCCCAGTCTAAAATGTAACTTTTCCCAGAGATATTTACCGGTAATTGTTCTCACCATTTAAAACAGACCTTCCATTAAAATGGAAGGTCCATTTTAATCCCTACACTAATCTTTTCCTATGCACTTTATCAACAGCACTTCCATTAAAATGGAAGGTCCGCTCAATTGAAAGCCCCCAACCCTTAAAGCCAAATAGTCTGCAAAGGTGATTTAAAAGGAAGGTCTGCTCAATTGAAAGCCCCAACCCCTAAAGCCAAATAGCCTGCAAAGGTGATTTAAAAATAAAGCTATTGCTAAAAAACTAAATAATTCAGCCCTGGCTTCCTAAACTTCTGGGAAGTGAGGGTGAAGGGGAAATGAGCTTTTACTTACACTGAAATACAGCCATTTTGTTAGCTGACCTCCATTTTATATTAATTATAGGACTTATTTGTCACGTTCCTCAAATGAGTGGAAGGTTTGGATCACAGCTGCGGAGCTCTTTAACCACGGCCTATGGGATTGGATCAGACAGACGGTTCCCTAATACACCAAGTGCGATGGGGAACCGTTCCACATCATGTATCCCGGCCGAGTGGGGGGAGTGGGTGCTTAACCCACGACTATTATAGTAAGTTGTAGACTGACGTTTCTCATTTGAGGGGGAGTGATGGGACTGTAGTCCCCTGAGACACACAGTGCAGTGATTAGCACTTTTAGTTAATTTCGAGGTACCAGAGGTAAGGGGAGTATTTGGATAGTTCCTACAG